ACTGCCTAATACGACCACAATCAATCAATTCTTAACAGGGACGAGCTGTAATTTTCCAGATGGGGTCCTAAGTTAGTACTGCGAGGGCCCCATGTTAGTTGGGCCCTAAACTACATATTAATCAAATAGCCTAATAAAAATATATTGTAAATTATGCAGTATCTACTTAATTTGTTTTATTCAATGAAATGAAAGCTAGTTTAGTTAACCACTTCAAGTGATTGTGAGAAGATTTTGGGCTTGAGAGATTAACAAAAAATACGACCTATCCGAGGCCCCAGGTGCAACTAAAATGACGGAGTTAATGCAAATTTGAAGAAGCTTCAGGCGAAATGGTCAAATCTGTGAAAAATGGAATTGTTTTATATCTATATAATTATAACTATTAAAATGGGGTTTGGGCCCTTCACGTCTTCGGAGCCCGTGTCTGCACAGATTCGGCCCTGGTTCTGACGTAAATATCCACCCTTCTGCCAATATATGAACTTTATGCAGCTCATGTTTTGTAATTACCTGTTATGTAGGTCACGTTTATGATAAATGATACGTTCTGTATTGTGTTGTATTATTGTATAGTGGAAATATAACTATTATGTAGTTCAACACGAGCGTAAATAAAGTCATGATTATTGTTACTCAAAATAGTTTCAACTTTTGAAAATTTCTATAGCATAGAATACGTAAAATGTATGAAGTGACACCATTTTAGTTGCACAAAGAAAAAACGGTCAGTTTCATACTTCAATTGATGTCTTACAACAGTTATAATATTTGAAGTTATATTTATTTGCTTTATGTAGCATTAATTATTTAATGCTTTTCATTATTTGCACTCATATCAATATCAAACCTCCTTTTAAAAAAACTAATATAAGTTGCCAACAATGCTCAACAGCATTAAAAAAAACAATTTCAAAAATAGAACGTATGGCATTTCGCGCCAAATCGTCTACAGCCAGCAAAGACGTAATAAGGCTGTCCATTCATTATCGGTCGGTCGTTCAGTTGGTCACGTGACGCGGCGACCTTGGCACCCGCGCTCCGAGCGATTCGCCCACGAGTCTCACAAGCCCGCCTAGACGGCGCCCGATGTTTGTTACATTGGACAAAAATAAAAAAAAATAGTCTCGTCCTAGCGACGTCGCGTCCTGGCTGAATGACTTTGTTTCCTATGCTTTGACGTTTTATTGTTTCGAACTAAAATAGTTTGACTATTCAAATTATGGCTGCTTGATTTATACAAAAAGGTTTTATTTCAGAATTGGATAATACATAAAAGACAAAAATAGATAGCTTACATATCACTTAATTTAAGGCTTGACGACATTCAATTAAATGACTTTTAATTATCAGTAAATACTTGCATCATGTTTTACAATTATTAAATTTTTTGTTTGTTATTTAACCCTCTCCAGAGGGTTCATACTTAGTCGAAAGACTTTTTTCAAGCCTTTAAATAAATGATAGGGTAGTAAATGACTTCTAAGTGGCCATTCTAGATGTGATCTCATCAGATAACGTAATGGAAAAGCAAAGAAAATAGATCGCAAGGGTCTGGAAGTACCAACTAAATAAATAGGATTACAACGATTTAGTGTCAAAGTGTACTTATTTAGAAAATTCTCAAATCTTAACCCATGTAATAGATTTAAAGTTCTACTTTTTTTTTAGATATGCATTTAGTACTTTTAATATTTTTCAGTAGCACGTTTAATATAACATCTATTTTCTGTGGTTGTTATGAGGATCATATCAAAGAAAATGACTCTGTTGCCGTACACTGGACACCACTATTCCAGACTCAATGTTATTATTCATTTTTTTTTATTATGCATGTCCAGCTTTACTTTACCCAACAGGAATTAAAAACTCAAACCTATTTATTCAACGTTATGACGTCACCACCGCCGTATTCATAGTAGTTTTATTTTGTACGTCTACGGACGTGGTTTAACTAGAGCGTGTCAAAGGCAATGCTAGGCTTGAGTTAACTGATTGATTGACAATTTGAAAATACGTGGGTGTTTCACTCACGTCAATTATGCAAGATTTTTTCTCAACCTTTGAAGCAAGCGTATGTAGGAAAACAAGTTGAAAATAATTTTTACGTCTCGTGGAATTCTCCGTATTTTTTCTGTTTAAAACTCGTATTTGAAAGACAACGAGCAGACAAATCACCTGATGACAAGCGATCAGTGCCCCATAAGAACATCTACAATACTAAAGATGTCACGAAGCAGGTTTGAAGATTGTATTACATCCCAAATAGGTGTCGTCGAAATCAGTTCAATTCTTCATAAAAACACAACACCTTAAGAAATGAGACGATACCTACAAATATATCATGCATGATCCGTCATAAAAAAAACTAGTGTGATCCTAATACACGATGTTATTGTCCTCATAACATAAGTTACCATAATCAATGACCTGTAAACATGAAAGTGGAACACTTACTCCCCAACATTTGACCTAACCATAGATTCACAAAAATCAGGACATAGACTACATAGCGTTTGGCAAGGACCCTCAGCCGGTCAGGCGCCAATCTGACACAATTCACAATAGTGCCAACTTTACCATATATCTTTTATTTTATATCTTTTCCTTTTATCGATTTCTAGGAACTACGTATCTAGAAGAATTGTTACCCACAAACTACTTTTGTGTCCTCCTTGGACCCTCCATGCCAGTTTTGATGACAAGGGTCTTGGGTCACAAATGTTATACCGTTGAAGTTTTACATTGTTTCTCTTGGCTCTATTCATCTCTTTTTATCCTACTGTGTTAAATAGAGATAAAAGATCGAGGGCGCGAAAATGTTTATGTACGTACGTTATGTGTGTTTGTAAGTAAAATTGCGAATGAAAATTTGAACGATTTCTTATTGTCTGTTTGTTTTGAGATATAGTGTGTCTCTTGACTTGAATAATGAATTCTTCAAATATTACTTGCATAATAAATGACTGTTCTTGGAATGTTATTATAAAGTAGGACACCAACTATAAGTAGGTACCTACGTATAAAATAGCAATACCTAAAATGTTCAAACATTATGAAACGTGCACTTAACATGAAGCTACTGATTAACAACTTCCTATAAAAAGAGTTTCTTAAAATAATCCATGATTTTACTTTCAATTAAAATATCTAGAACCTGAGGTAAGACAATTCCTTTTAGAAAACTTGAATAATAACAAAACATAAGCAGAATTTTTAAATTACACTGCAACTTTCATAAGAATCTACAATCATGTTAATAGGCGATAATTTGACATAAATTGCCGTTAATTATATCGTATCAAAGTCTCGATTATACGAATATTATAATTTTCCTCGAAGTCGAACATTTATTTGTAATTTAATAATACTTTTGTAACAATTTTCAAAATAGAATAATACAATGATTATACCCAATAAATGAGTTTTACCTTTTAAATTGTTACCTTTGCATTACTGAAATGCATTTTGAATTTAGAAAATGTAGTGGCATTATTAATACATTTTTTATTTTTCTTTTTACGGAAAATGACGTTCTAGTTTTAAAAATTAGAACAACAATTTCCAACATTAGCTCCCTTTAAAAAGGGAACAAAATGTTGCTCTACGTCAAATACAAAATTTCAAAGAGAAAATGTCGGGTATTTTATAAAGTTTATTTTAGTTTACGTTGCACGCGCAGCAACATTATTCCTTTTAACTAATTAATTTTACACTGACGTCCCTTTCAAAGCTGCTTTCATACGCTCTTAAATAGAAAAAGAATGTAACAGAATATAAAATACTCTTTTTGCTTAAATATACACAAATGTGATATATTCAATGTAACGCGTATTTCTCTCCCATCATATTATTAGTTCTTCGGAGACTCTCTACTTTAAAAATAAATATAGGAAGACCTTTTTTGAGAATTCAAGCCGAGTCTCCGAGCTCTGCAACTCTTTGAGTGTGCGAACAACACCGAAGTTAATTAATCTACCACATAAAAAAGTATTTAATACAACATGCTAATATTTTTCTTTCATGGCCGATGTTATATTTCCTCCTTGGATGAACGGGAAATAGTATTCAAGATACATACACATGTAAAGAGAATCGACGACTCTGCATAAAACTAAACAGCCAATATCCTATTTTCCATTCTCGGCGAGGCATTTTCTCTATGCTAGTGTAAGGGAAAATGTTACAGATTGCACCCACTGAGATTTGTTATTCAAGGCTTTTAGTTTTCTTATTATTTATTTATTTTGATTTTATTAAGCAGACAAAATGAAATGTAATTGAACATAAAGGCGGGCCTAATATGTTCCTACTAGATTTTTTTTCTTCTCTTCTTCTGACTGCCTCGTTGACCAAGTGGTCGCAAGTGCGACTGCTGGGCAAGGGGTCTCGGGCTCGATTCCTGGGTCGGGCGTACTTAAAAATTCTCAGAAGTAGCACGGAGTCTGGAACTGTGCCCGGTATATGGCAATAGGCTGACCCCCTATTACATGGGATTCATAACATGAATAGTGAAAAGTGGGTATTACATTGTACTGTATAATGTACACCTCTGCCTACCCCATCGGGGATAAAAGATGTTTTAAGAAAAAATAGTTTTTTTTGAGCTTTCAGTTTTCCAACTCAAAAAGACAATTTATAGATACTAAACTAAGTATTCATTCAAACATATTTTTATTTATATTTCAGTTGTTATCGAACTCAGTACAAGTCAAATCAAAAAAGAATATTTGCACTGGCTTATCAAAGATTCAGTACCAATGTCCTTATTTGGAACAGTGCCTTTAATAACACGGTAAAGTGTAACTGCATAGCGATATCGATAAAAATCAATATTTACAGACCATAACCCAGTAACCATGTAATATTAGCTGTACCCGACTAGAATTACTTCAACTTCATTGTATTAACAATTGTGATAAAACAACAAACTATTAAGTATGAACAAAACTAAATTACTTATAACTAATAATAACTAATAAACAAAAGCATTTACTCACCGAAAGGCGGCTCGAACCTGCAGTCCAATAGCAAGGCATTGCCGGTAGGGCCGGTGGTGCCGACGACAGCGCCACCTCGCATCATCACCTGCGCCTCAAGTTCCACCCACCGACCCCCACCGTCCGACTGAAACACCAATGGATACTTTACAATACTGATCAATATGTCGCCATAACGTTTCAATAGTTCAGTAGCTACCGTAATAGAATTGTAGATCGAAGATCGAAAGTTGTAGGTAATTTGTATGTAGGTATATAATTTTCTAATACCTTGAAACCATTCATTGATGTTCTCAGAAATGCACAGGCGAAGAGTATAAGAATATAATTGCGTTTGGTAAAAGTATTAAAACTTATACGTTTTGGTAAAAATAATGTTGAAACCTTTAGATTATAGTAAAAATGGTGTTGAACTTTGCTTGAGCTTCCGCACAATAACCAAAGTGACGTACCTAATACACCTAAATGCGTACGTCAAAGGTGCCCGGTATATGGCAATAGGCTCACCGATATAATATAATACATGGGACTCATAACATTAAAAGTGAAAAGTGGGTGTTACATTGTACAGCGACATTAAGTTCCGTAATGTACACCTCTGCCTTCGGAGATAAAAGGCGTGATGTTATGTCATATGCGTGCGTCACATAAACTGAAAATCCAAAAATACGTTAACATTAATTAATTTCAACTATAGAATAGAATAGATACTTATTCATTTTCATATAAATATTATCTAAAACTCGGAGCTAAATTGCATCATAACCCAACGCAGCTTAGCGGTAATCGAGCATTGTCATTTTGCCGAGAATCATGGAATTACCTACTAAACTACCTATATTATGTTAAACCGTTCGATCTCGTGCCACCGCGGCTGGCAAACCACAGAGTTCCGGGGCTTAACGGCCTTAATTACTCTTGCCAAGTACTCTCCAATCGAAATATACTAGCAACTATATAAATAGTGTAAGTTTAACCTAAATCTTTATTCGTCGGTAGGATTAAATTACCAGTTATAGAAGATAAAAGATTCGTTGTAGTTATCATTCTATAAGGATCATTTTTATGTACAAAATTTATAATCCTTTTTTGTTGGAGAAGCTCTATAAAATTCACTTCTCTAGCCAATGAACCAAAGAGTTTAAAAAGATGTGAAAGGCAGCAAATCGCGTGAGATGTAATCATAAAAGGAGCTTAAATCCAGTGAAGGCTCCACATTAGGCTGACGACGATTTAAAAAAATCGATGCTTTGCGTAAACGCACTGATTAAGTTTAACGTATAACTTTACCAATTAATATCGTCAATTGCAACAATTGATCTACTGATTTCACACTCACATTTTCAATATAAAACCAAACTTAACATACATACATAACATTACGCCTTTTTATGCGCGAAGGGGAAGGCGGAGGCATTATGCCATTGTAGAATGTAAGACCCACTTTTCACTATTTATGTTATGAGTCCCATGTAATAGGGGGTGAGCCTATTGACATATTCCGGGCATAATTCCAGACTCTGTGCTACAACTGAAATTTTTTTTAAAACCCAGTAATGCTTCGCCCGGCCCGGGAATCAAACCCGAGACCCCTTTCCCGAAAGTCGCAATTGCGACCACTCGGCCAACGAGGCAGTCCTTTAAATACAAATCACTACATAGTATAAAACAAAGTCACTATCCGTCGTCTGTCTGTCCCTACGTATGCTTAGATCTGTAAAACTACGCAACGGATTTTGATGCGGTCTTTTTTATTAGATAGAGGGATTCTTAAGGCAGGTTTATATGTATAATACATGCATATTGCACCTGTGCGAAGCCGGGGCGGGTCGCTAGTAAAATATAATTAATAATTTCTATGTATCACGAAACCACAAGATAACCTCTTTTCATTTTCCTCAACTTGAACCAATTATCTCCACAGAGTAAATGTTGAAGGAAATGCAAAATACATGCAAAATGTTCCCGTGGCTTTAGCAAGAATATTTGCGCTTTTACGCTAGTCTCTAGATGATTCTGAGAAACGCAGCGACTTGTGATAGAAAGTTTCTGACAATGTCTTTTATATTCCAGCTGTAAGATGGAACTGTTCAGGTTTCTATGTCTTTTTAAAAAAATTACATTAATAAAGACCATTGAGTAAGTTTTCTGCCTGGTCAATGACAAGGACCAATTCAATAGGCTGACGGCCAATCGTCAGGAATTGTGTACTTGCCTTATTCAAAAATAAATAATTTCGCCTGTTGAATACAATAAAATATTAAATAATAACTAAATGATTTTATGACTAACTTAATTTTAATAATTTTAAGGAATAAGTATGCAGTTTGACGCTAAATAACATGACGTCACAATACATAATGGCTAAATGGCATTTGACTACAGCAGAAGAAAGACAATCGCACTTTCAATGTGGAATGATGGTCTATGATGATGGTTCAGTGCACAGATCTTATGATAATTTTCAGTTTTTAAATAGCAACACAACAGAAAAAAAGATATGAGGCTTTCAGATATATACAGAAGTAATAAAAACCGTGTGTTTTTAAAAAGATAGGTACCTACTTAAAAATTGCTTAAAATAAAACAACTATAAAATAGAAATGTCCGAACTCGGACTATAAAATCAATACCTCATTTTAAACACATCTTCAACACAATGAATTTCTCATCGAAGATGTCGACACTACGTACATACATACATACATAACTTCACGCCGGTCTCCCATGGGGGTAGGCCGAGACTATGGAACGCCAATTACTACGATTCCTACATACCTCTTTCGCTTCATCAACAGTCATCAATCTTCATGCATGAGCAATATTTTAACATAAAATTAGAACCCATATAATAAAAACATAACTTGAAAAAATAACTATGCTTTAAAACGGTATAGAGAGCACACCACAACTAGAATACTCACTAACGAAGTAAATGAACTGGCAGACTACAGCAATCAATCAGTAGAAGCCTCATTATTGTGCATACCGTTACTCATTAATATTTCAAAGGTAGGCAATCAGATCAATTACCTACTTCTTTTTCTTTTCTAACAACGATTACGTATTGACGTATTCTATTGATGTATTAGCTTGTGGCCTAATACAAGACATATGTACAATCGTCGCAAGTTTGCACGAACTCAATTCGTACGAATTTGTAAAATAGAGACCGCGTTCGACGCTCGGATTGGTTGTTTTTTTTGTAGCCGGCCAATAGAAGCGTCGAACGCGGTGTCGTTTCGATTATTTTAAATATAAAACAATCTCGTACTAAGGGCTCAGGTGTTCCAACTGATGTTGTAATTAAAATATTTGCAAATTTGTAATATTGATAGTAATATTTAAAATATTAAACAAAAGTGTCTCCGTACATTTTATTCAGATTTTGACTTAATTTTCAACCTTATCTGTGTTGTTATTTGGGAGATAACCACATAAACTAATGGAACACTTGCGCTAGTCGTATCACAAATTCGCGTTCTATTAGGACCCAGGGTAGTAGAATGTATTTCTAAGTAATTACTTAATAGTTGTTCTACCATATCCAATTGTGTTCGACGAAACGTGTTTGTGAATTTTAAAGTATAATAGGGGAAAATCATTGAATGACTTCTCCCGCCTGGGCGAGGCGGAAGGGAATGCCAGACTCTTAAACCACACCCCGTTCCTTCTCCTGCACTTCGAGTCGGAGCTCAGGTAACTCGTTAGGTTCTCCGTGACGATTAAAAGGACTAGGTTTTTGTATTATTTAAGTGGTTCAAAGAGAGGCTGCTTAATGAGATCTGTTGCAGTCTAATCACGAATTAAGACGCTATGAGATAGATAAAAAATACGCAATAAAAACAACCATACAAAATATGTAAGCAGTTAATGTCAAAGTCGAAGCATTTATTTCAATTAAACCATAATTTGGTACTTACTAATTATGTAATAAAAGACTCATTCAAATGTACTCTCAATGATAAATATTGAATCGATTAAAGTCAAATCGATGTCGAATCATTTTCTTAATGAATCACTATTACATATCATAAAATATAACTGTAGTACACAAAAAAAAACATTAATAGAAACTACATAAATTAAACACTATCTATTATAAGACTTGCATAAAATAAATGCGTTTCACTATCTCCTTTACTATTAAGTACATTTTAATTTATACAACGAAGCAGTAAGACCGCTTCTCCCAAAGTCGAACCCTTAAGAATATCCTTTAGAAGGTAAATTTATGACAACATAGATAATTTGTATTATTATTAATGAAGCACATTTATAATTAATAATCTTTTACGTTATTAATCATCCATTTGATGAAGGCTTCCTCCATCGTTTTGGATGTCTAAATGAATTACTTAGAGTAAAGAGGCTGTTGATATAATGAGTGAGAGATCGGCTACCATTCTGAGACTTAGATAGTTTTTTGCGAGCGAAAATGATTTGGAAAGCAATTAAACAATTTAAGTATTTGTCTATAAGTTTAAAAACAGTTAAATATTATTAGTAAGTAAATAACTAACATATTTGAACTGATATAAGTTTATAAAGTTGTCATGTTATCTATGTTTGTAAGAAGTTTTCGTTGTCTGCTGATAGAGGCGCTGTTTCTTTCTCTTTGCGTTTGTAATGACGTTGCGTTTAAATGAATATCGTGATTTATAAGAACTATGACAAGTGTCTTAATGAAATATTGCCTAACGCCAATAACCTCAAAGGAATATAAATACCCAAGTGAACGTAGCATGATCTGAAATAGATTCTTTAAAAAACCATTTTTCATAAAAAAACGAAATATCAATTTCAGCCCAACATAGGTAGAATAAGCTATTTTTAGTATTTTTCCACAATTAACAAACGACGTAAAAAGGATTTTTAATCTGTGAACTCCATTTCACAATACACACTCCACGTTGATGAAAACACCATGTCATTTAACGAAGCGGTGTCCCCAAAAATGAAAATCTTAATGAATCTTCACGGATCATACAACATCAGACCTATTAAAATCGCCCTTTATGTTCAAACCGGTTTGAACTCGTTTTGTGACGTCGTTTTCATTAAAAAATCGGTCCATAAGCGGTTACCGTTTTAACAAAAGCGTTGCGGTGCCGACGTCGTGGAAAATACCATTTTACAACCTTTATGTATGCAAATTCCATACAATTTGCGTACCATAGTAAACGTTGAAAAACTTCGTTGCGATATATCGTGGTTTTGCAATGACTTCCATTAAAATTAACGTTCATTGTTCGGTAATAACTCATTGGAATGGAAAGTTCTAGATTTTCAAATATTTTGCTTATCGCGTTCCATTTTAATTTTTTTTTGTTGCACTCATATAGTACAATTGGAACAATAATTAGTGGTCATCATTTGGGTTGCCAGATTCCATTAGAGTTTTTAAAATAACAAAAGAGAAAAGAGAGGTTTTGCTAACCACTTCAGAGAAAATGTATTGAATTTTTTTTTCTTCAAATGGTTTTAATATCATGTAGTTCGATGTCATAAATCATATACAAAAGGAAAGGACATAAATTATCCTAACTTTTCAATTTAGACATATCAACAGAAAATACTGGTGATTTTCACTTCACATACAATACTGACATTCAACGAAAATTGCCAACAATCAATATGTACCCAGTAAAGAGGCGAAGTAAAGTGCTCAATAGATTATTTTACTCACCAACAATGAAGCAAGCAATTCTCATTTACAAAACCTCATTACAAACATCATGAGTAAGTCAGAATCAATACAACAGTCCACAGAATTGGCTTTCTTAAGAATTCAAGACATTCAGCCAACATGGTCGTATTTGGGGCTAAAAATACTTATTGATTTCCTTTGTATAAGGCAGTAGGTCGCTTTAGTATGCTCATTATTTGAGCTGTATTTAATACACAAGGTTAATAAGTTCGTAATACATATATAACTACTATAACAAGATTATTGAGTTCTTCCCGAAAGGGCTTAAAAGACAGGTATTTACTGAGTGCCCCATGTTTGAGTTGTCTTTGGATTTTCTTTTTTTAAGTTTGACGCTGTATTGTCGTTACGTTATTTTCACATATATACACAATAGGTAAGGATCATATGAAGTATTTGTTATGTCGTGGTGGCCCGAAGATTTAAGATGCCTGCTTCTCATGCATGAAGGTGCGGATTCAAAACCTACCAACGGCAAGTACCAATGTGATTTTTTCGAGTTATATGTACTTTCTCAGATAATTCAGACACCACTGATAAACGGTAAACAAAAACGTCGTGAGGAAACCTGGGCTTATAATTTCTAATTATAAGTTTAAAATCGCCAACCTGCATTGAGCAAGTGTGGTGATTAATGCTCAAAACCTTCTCCGTGTGAGAAAAGGCCTTAGGTCAGCAGTGGCCACTTATAGGTTGTTGTTGATGATGATGATGCAGATTTTCTATCACTATTGACCTGTTTGCCTCGAGTCGCAAATCCATCACTATTGCGTCATTATCACTACACTGTAAGAGCGTGAATACGAGGCAGAATATTTGATTCACTTGAATCATATACTATATAACTACTATAGCAAGATTATTGACTTCTTCCCGAAAGGGCTTAAAAGACAGGTATTTACTGAGGGCCCCATGTTTGAGTTGTCATTGGATTTCCATAATGAAAACCACATAAGACTTTTAAATTTCATTTCAAATGGCAATAAATTATTCTTCTAACCAAAGATGGTCTTGATATTACCATCACAGCAGTGAAAAGTCGACCCATAACTCTTCAACTTCCCCAGCTATATTCAACCCTATAACATGACATGACAGTATAAAACCCAACCCTTTAAAATATGACCCCGTTTTGTACGTAATGTTACTACATAGTATTATACAAAGTCGCTATCCACCATCTGTCTGTCCCTATGTATGCTTAGATCTTTAAAACTACGCAACGGATTTTGATGCGATTTTTTTTATGGATGGAGTGATTCTTAAGGAAGGTTTATATCCGCGCGAAGCCGTGCGGGTCGCTAGTGGAGTTATACCTCTAATGCAATGCAATACGCCAAGGATTGAACAAGAAGCCATATTTACATTTAAGGAAGTATTTAAAGAGATTGGCTGATATAAGGCAGTTGTAGACAACAATTTGATGCTGAGAGACAATACATATAGCACCTTTGGAATGCTGGTAACATTTCTTTAAGTAGAATTAGGTATGAAGTATGCTACAAAATATCTTATATCATAGTGCATTTTGTACGTATGACTAAAGCTGCTCCCTCACCGGAAGCATTCACGTGTGATGTAACATTATAGATTCGTCTTTAAGCATTACATTACAATAATACCTCCCTGACTAACAAGCATTTGCGTGTAATGTAACACATGGATTCCACTTTGAGCATTTCATAGCAAGATGTCAGACATTGATGTTACAAGTTGTATCAAGATATTACACCTTGCATCATTACAAGGTGCGCATTGTAATGCTCGGTTCTCCTCCTTCACTGATGTAATGCTCAGACCTGTAACGTTACATTACACGCGAATTTCTCTCGGGAGCATCTCAAAGAATATGTAGGTATATGAATGTGGTTCAACGCTATTAATAGCAACGAAACACATTTATATCCATATTCTATTTTCAAACAACAATGAAGAAGTAGTATTAATTATAAAATGTTTTGTCTCTTTCTAACTTACCTCGTTATAAGCGACGGAAGTGAGAGGCAGGTAGTGGTAGCCGAGTGCTTTGTCCCAGATGACACCTTTGTTCCACACCTCCACTAAGAGACCCAGGTTGATGTCATTGATTTCACTGTGGGACAAAAATAACGTATTTATTACATATATGTATAATATATTGTATAGGTTAGGGTTAAGTGGTTGTTGAACCAAATGCAGAACGTAAAATTCTAATATTTACATACATATTTTTTTTATATACATAATTATATTACGTTAAATTATGAGTTATTCGACTACGTGAACTAGAATACCTGCCTCGTTGGTCGAGTCGCAAGTGCGACTGCTGGGCAAGGGATCTCGGGTTCGATTTCCGGGTCGGGCAAAGTACTATTGGAGTTTTAAAAAATTCACAGTAGTGACACGAAGTTTGGAATTGAAAGGTGAGCCTTTTGCCATATATACCCTATTACATGGGACTCATAACATAAATAGTGGGTGTTCCATTGTACAGTGGCATTAAGTGCCATAATCTACACCTCTCCCTGAAGGGGTCTTCAGGGATAAAAGGCGTGATGTTATGTTATGATATGAAAACTAGAATCACAGCTAACTTCAAGCAAATTATAAGAGTCCGCCATTGTATACTGTTGTACATAAAGTGTTAAATAAATAAAATAAATAAGATTAAACCCACCAAACGTACAACCTTATTATTGTAAATTCACCTTTATCAGTTACATAATATCAAACAGAAACATTACAAACTAAGTTCGCTTATCGCACAAACAAAACAAATACAAAACTGACCTATATTTCATTCATTGATTCAAATGTACCGACAGAAAAGACAGGTAAATGAAAAGCGAATGTTAACTCATTAATTATGTTAATTAATTTTCTGTGAAATAATATATTGACTGCACGGTTGGTGCTGTTGGGCAACGTGCCGTGCAACAATTTGTGTGATCCACAAATTGTTGTCCCGGGTCTGGGTGTCATGTGTATGTGAACTTGTATGTTTGTAAACGCACCCACGACACAGGAGAAAATCCTAGTATGGGGCAACGTCTAAAAAAAAAGAAAAAATATAAAAAGAAAGACTGCCTCGTTGGCCGAGTAGTCGCAAGGCAAGGGGTCTCGGGTTTGATTTCCGGGTCGGGCAAAGTGTTACTGAGTTTTTTATAAAAATTATCATTAGTAGCACGGAGTCTAGAATTATGGCCAGTATATGGCAATAGGCTCACCCCCTTAAATGGGACTTATAGCATAAATAGTCATAAGTGGGTGTTACATTGTACAGTGGCATATGCATGCACATCTGCCTACCCCTTTGGGGATAAAAGGCGTGATGTTATGATGTTATGTAATATAGAACGTGAAATGTATTTGTGATATTGAAAATTAACTTATTTCTCAATTCTCACTCAAAAAAAAAACTCGCACAAACACAGCACAAAAATGATATTTATACAACATACCAACAAATAACATACCAGGTACATTTATGTGAACAAAAATGGCGGACTTCGAACGAAATATTTCATCCTGCCGACAGTATAAACAAATCACATAGCTCGCTACTTTCATAAAGTAGAATTGAAAACTTTCCGGCTTCACTCGGATTTATATTTTGCGAGTAAATTTTCAAATTGTTGCAATTTATAAGATGGACGCACGAACTGACGGGCAATCCGATTTAAGTGCTTCGTATTTTATTAGGAGGGCTTTGTTTTATTGTTTTTCTAGTATTTTACAAGGGAATTCCTTTTGCTATATATCATGGTTTACAGAGATGAAACAATACCCTTCATATAATAGTCGGATAAAAATAGTATTTTTTATGGGATAAGCCGGTTGTTACAGATCACCTGATGGTAAGCAATCGGCGTCGCCCATAGATTCCCGGAACACCAGAGGCGTTGCAAGTGCGTTAGCGGCCTTTTGGGGATTAAAAATTTAAGGATTGATGTAGATTTAGGGAATGATGAGTTTGGGGATATTAAATATGTAGGTAATAAAAAAAAATGATCCAATATCTATATTCAACTTTTAATTTTTGTTTTATTTTTGAAATGACTTAATTCTAATTAAATTTCAATACCTAATTCGTAACAAAAAAACAAAACAATTCTTTAATAATCAAACTTCAATTGCATTTCCATCAAGGTATCAATAAAATTTTATCTTGTAGAACTACGTGGAATTTGGTTGAAGTCAAAATAATTTCAAATATTATGCCAAACCCTTGCCAAATGTCCAGAGTCTACAAGCTAGTTCTCATTCAAAACACGGCAGCTAAAACACAGGTATATCTTCAGAAAATTCACATTAAAGTAAAGGAAAACTTAGGATTAAACTAGGCAAGAAGGGAAATATTAGCTCGTAAAACTTGACTTAAGTACTGTGAATATAAGTTGAAAACTTTGCCTATGTCACTTTAAGGCGAAGAAAAACAGATTTAAACAGAAAACCTCTTCGGTCTTTACAAATATTTGTGTTATTAAGACGACTACCTGATTGGTTAAATGTCCATAAGAGTATCGGCTAAACAATATGTATCAAGCTCAATTCCTAAATTAAACTAAATTGTATACGAAACTGTCTCGTTGGCCGAGTGGTCGCAAGTGCGACTGCCGGGCAAGGGGTCTCGGGTTCGATTCCCGGGTCGGGCAAAGTATTACTGGATTTTTTAAAATTCTTAGTAGTAGCACGGAGTCTGGAATTGTGCCCGGTAAATGGCAATAGGTTCACCCCCTATTACATGGGACTTATAACATAAATAGTGAAAAGTGGGTGTTACTTCTGTGTGCACCTCTGCCTACCCCCTCGGGGATAAAGGGCGTGATGTTGTGTGTGTGTATGTATACGAAAATATCTCACTAACGGAGTTTGGAGTAATGCTTGCGTCACTGCAAAAGGTGCTCACTGAAAATCAGTGGAGCTTCGTGGTGACTCGTGCCTAGCTTACACTGAGTGGGTAACGCATTTAGCATAGGCATACTGTTAGCATGTTTCTTTTCTGGTTTTTTTTTACCTAATGTGTTTTTCACTTTCACTGCCACACTATCTTTTATTGTCTTTTTTTAATTATGTTTATGCTGTTTCGTGCCAGGTGCTGAATAAATGTTTATTTTTTCTTTCTTTCTTTCAAATGAACGGTACATTTCTAGTGGCCACATCATCAACAGCCTATAAATGCCCACTGCTGAGCAAAGCCTCTTCTCACAGGGAGAAGGTTAGAGCGTTAATCACCACGCTTGCTCAATGCGGGTTGGCGATTTCAAACTTATAATTAGAAATTATAAGTCCAGGTTTCCTCACGATGTTTTTCCTTCACCGTTTGTCAGTGCTGTCTAAATAATCTTAGAAAGTACATATAACTCGGAAAAAGTCACATTGGTACTTGCCGTTGGTAGGTTTCGAACCCGCACCCTCATGCATGAGAAGTGGGCGTCTTAAACCTCTGGGCCACCACGACATACACGACACGACTAGTGGCCACAGTCCAACAGTAAAATGTGACAATTGTTGTTTAAGTTTTATAATACCGTTTCACTCTATAGTCACTGAACACTCATCTCAAAAGTAATTTCAATATTTCATCATTGCACATACTTAGTGAATTAGTAACAAGAAACAAAAAGGCACCTTATTGCCTTATAATATGCTTGAAAGTTGAACCAATACACATCCCTTGTAATTCTCAGTTCAATGATCCCAAAAGAAAACACCACACTTAACCACTATTATACATACACTACACGTAACTGTATCTCCTTTCTCCTTATAAAAGACAAGTTAATTCGTTTACTACACAAAGACCAACGTTTGTTCAGAAAGCAAATAAAATTGTATACTGTTCGCTGATCTTTCCTACTGTACGCCAAAGAAATATCTGACTGGTGAAATCTACTTTACTGTGGCATTTCTTATTTCATGTAGTTTATCTCTTGCGAGAGCATTTTGCGAATGTTCTTTTTGAGATGAAGTTTAAACACATCGTATATTTTTATGGCAATGGTGGTGAACGAGCACGTGGATGATATGATGATGAACAATGGGTTTTAGCCATGGACACTCTCAAAGGAGCTTGTCTTTTGCATTTGGAGATCTTTTGATTGAGGATTTAGGAATTGACCTTCGGGCAATTTGATCTGCTGATTCTACTTTTTTATTCATATCGCTTAGTTACCATATACTGTTCTTGCTAGTGTGACTGCAGAACCAGTCGCAGTTCAAGGGTTCAGATAAAAGACTATTATTATTTTTGTCATCGAAATCTATCAGTATGTTTGTGTGTGTGTGTGTGTTTCTGTTTGTGTATGTAAGTGTGTTATGTATCATCAACAGCCTATAAATGCCCACTGCTGAGCAAAGCCTCTTCACACACGGAGAAGGTTTGAGCATTAATCACCACGCTTGCTCAATGCGGGTTGGCGATTACAAACTTATAGTTAGAAATTATAAGCCCACGATGTTTTTCTTCACCGTTTGTCAGTGGTGTCTGAATAATCTTAGAAAGTACATATAACTCGGAAAACGTCACATTGGTACTTGCCGTTGGTAGGTTTCGAACCCGCACCGTCATGCATGACATGCGGGCGTCTTAAACCTCCGGGCCACCACATGTGTTATGTGCGAGTATTATTTATTCTAGTGCACTTGTAACAGTATCGTTACTTTGAATGTCTATGTTATTAATTGCATGCAATAGAAAAACGTTTGAATCTCTCCTTGTTGGCTTGTCCTAGATAGAGAAATAACAGGTGTACAAATGCTTGTCATTTCTCAATGCAAGTTTCTATTTTAACCTGAAAAAAATCAATAAAAACAATCAACCTCAATAAAAACGCAAGAACCTAATAATATGACGAAATAATTGGACAACATTGTTATCGTATCGCAAATATTAAATGCGTCATTTAATAACTGAACTAATAAACGCCATTTCAATTATCTATAGACTCAATATCGAATTGACTGGTTTATACTCGGAACAATAACTAAAGCAATTGTTCCGAGGGTTTATACATACACACATACAAACATAACGTTACAGCCCGATAGGGATAATTATCGTATGTGCACTCAGAGAATAACCAATGCCGATGATAACTATTTATCATAAGA